AATGAAAGAGGAAGACGGTTGCTCTCGAGCACCTGCCACTCATAATTGAATCGCAATACCCGGTTAAGCTTTTTAAACTAATATCAAACTCCCACGCGCACAGTTACCTATTTAAGTTCGATAATCTTTATCAAATGCTCCAGCATAAAAGGTGAGTACGAATGCCTACAGCATCTCCTCACCTCGCATATCAGCACACACAGCACTGGCACATCAGTTTGCTCATCAGAAAACACAACACACGTGCATCATCGTACACACCGCCACATCAGCATGCGCATGGCAGGAACGCCATGTGCACAGCACCTGCACAGCGGCTGCACAGCACATGCAGTGAGTGACCTGCATATGACCTGCAATGCAATGAGTGACCTGCACAGCACCTGCAGTGAGTGACCTGCACAGCACCTGTTGTGATTAACCTGCACATCACCCCCAGTGAGTGACCTGCACAGCATCTGCAATGAGTCACCTGCACATGACCTGCAGTTATTAACCTGCAGTGATTATCCTGCACAGCACCTGCACATGACTCACACAGAAGACTGCCCAGTAATGACGTTACAGACAACAAGAGTGAGTGTGCGGCTATGGAGGGCAATAGAGGCAAGGCGCGACACTAAGAGGGTTGCCTCAAGCAGGGCAAGGTCAGCACCCTTGAGAGCGCAAGCAGAGCCACGGATGCAAGTGACACCATAACACAGGCTCCAGCCACTCGTCGCAAGCACAGCAAATGTGTGCTCTCCAGTAGCACGAAATGTGCAAGACAGTCAGGCATTTTAAGGTGAACATGACACGCTGTTGCTTACCGTCCACCGCGAATGACAAGGTATAGGTAAATTTTGATGAGGAGTGGTAATATAAAAAACTATAACTAGAAAATTACTAAATTGTCCTCGTAATTAAATCATCAATATTAACAAAACTGATATCAGAGTAGTTTCAAGTTGAATAACGCAACAGTATGATAAAAACTTATCTTCCGTTAATGTGATACATTCCGAACTAATTTTCCATCGACAAACGTGCAATTCCTGGGAGTCGAAATGTTTTAGAGACCAAGCAAGCAGTATTCTTATCATGCATTCCTTCATGGCAGAATAATTATCATCTATTTGTCCAGAATCGAAGAGGAATGCATCCAAAAACCAAGTGAAGTCAGATAGACGACGTATATAATTAGATAGACCTACAAGCAGATCAACAGGAAAATAGCAAAGGACTGCCATGAAAAACCGAAAAATTCAGATAAAGAAATGGTTAATACGATCCAAATAGTGACATTTTCAGCACGTAGCACTGATGCGTCCATTGACCGGACCGAACTGGGTTAGAATGCTCCAGACAAGGGACAAAAGTGCATGGCTATTTGAACAAATGACACGAATTTCTCTGAGTGTGATCATAGCGGACACGGGACATGAAGGAGTTGAAGTATCGGTGCCATGCACCACGCACCCATCACGGTGACCTGACTAGCCGACAGCGCTGGCCGGCGGGGGCACAGCGTTCAATAAATCCTTCACAGGATGAAGAGAAAGCTGCGTGCCAGCAATAAATGGCGTAAGGACACGCCAGCGCAGACCACAAGCGCGCACGCCAAAACTTAATCACTTCTGGACCACACTGACCAAGTCCTCGCAAATAATTGCGAGGAATCAAATATTTTTATGACATTGTAGAACTTACGACCGCAGTGATATGTTCCAAGAATGCAACCCCAATGAGAGAGAGCGTACGTAACGACGTCAGAGGTCCAGACTGTACATAAGGTCAGAGTTGAGGCAGCTCTCACCGCGCGAATACCGTCAAAAGTCCTCAGCACTTTCTTGAATCCAATGCATGGATTATTTGCGAACAATCGTCCAAGTATAAAAAGATAATTAAATGTAGTTTCGCGATGATTGGGAACCACCTGGAACAGTCAGTCGTCGAAAAACTGAGCTTTGAATCTCGAGAGAATAAAGTTATGTATAAGATGATGACAAATTGAGAGCGAAATACTCTTAAACAACTTTGAAAATCTGCAACAGCCAGCCAACAAGGCCTAGTCAGTATAAAATAACTTTAAAATCTTATGCTCGCCAACGGGTTCGTCTAAATTTGGATGATATTTTTAGCGTGGGATATTATAGGTTTGCTGTCGGCAACAGTTCATCACAATGAGCCAAGCTCAAGCCCAGCTCACGGTAATAAAGCAAATAGGTCGAGAACGCTATTAACCTCAGACTGGAATTGGCGGTCAAACACATTAAATCTACGACGCTGGTAATGCATTTCAACAAAACAAACACGATTAAAATGTCGCACAGTCCAACCGCGAGAAACTACTAATCAACGACCATAGGGAGAACCTATCACGTGAGGACCATTGAGCAAATACCAACCAGCACAGCCAAAACTAGGCAAAGAGATTGAACCGACGAGGAAAACCATCAGGCAAGGACCGACCAGCCAGTTCAATGGTCAATCGAGTATGGACCATCGGATAAGTACCGACCAGCAACGACACTCGCTAAAGGGCAGTCGCTCTAAGACAGTCGCTGTAGTAAAGTCTATCTTACATGCCAGTCGAGCCAGGACAGTCGCTGTAGTAAAGTCTATCTTATAAGCCAGTCGAGCCAGGCCAGTCGCTTTAGTAAAGTCTATCTTACAGTCCAGTCGCTCTAGGACAGACGCTTTAGTACAGTCTATCATACAGGCCAGTCGAGCTAGGACAGTCTCTGTAGGACCCTCGAGCAAGGACAGTCTCTGTAGGACCCTCGAGCTAGGACAGTCTCTGTAGGACCCCCCTCGAGCTAGGACAGTCTCTGTAGGACCCTCGAGCTAGGAAGTCTCTGTAGGACCTTTGAGCTAGGACAGTCTCTGTAGGACCCTCGAGCTAGGACAGTCTCTGTAGGACCCTCGAGCTAGGACAGTCTCTCTAGGACCCTCGAGCTAGGACAGTCTCTGTAGGACCCTCGAGCTAGGACAGTCTCTGTAGGACCCTCGAGCTAGGACAGTCTCTGTAGGACCCTCGAGCTAGGACAATCTCTCTAGGATAGCTGGGACAGCCTCTGTAGGATCCTCGAGCTAGGACAGTCTGTGTAGGACCCTCAAGCTGGGACAGCCTCTGTAGGACCCTCGAGCTAGGACAGTCAAGCAAGAACCATTAAGCAAGGACTATTCCAAGTCCCATCATAGGCAGGTTGAAGCGCACCGGCAGCTGCGTGTTTGGCTGTTGGTTATATTTCTCGTTGTGACTCCAAATGCACGACTCTCATAACCTCTCACCCCCTCTCGGGTTAGCAAGGGAGCCACCTCCCCCTCCTCCGCGGTGCCGCCGGCTTGTTATGATTTACGGAGCTTGTGCACGAAGATGGAGCCGGATCGCAGGTACCGGGGCACATTCTCTAAAATGAACGCGGCATCGTAGAGTCATGAGCTAATCAATATTCCGGTTATTCTGTCAACTGAAGATCTTGAACTCTTCTTTAATTCCTCCGATCAAATTCTGACTTCATGTCTACAAAGAGCAGAATTGCAGCAGCTAAATATTGAATTGGTATTAACAAGCTAGTGAACTGAGGAATTTTCTCTACCTGGAATAAAATAATTAAATCAACAAGTCCTTAGATTTTTATAGGTACTATACCGTATCATTCAACATCAAGAAAGGGAATTTTGGACTGGACATGCATATAAATATACATCATCCTGTATCATCAAACCCTCCAAAAATGATCAAAAACGCGTTTTCGAGCAGTCCAAGGGCAATATAAAATAACAAGAAATAAATTTGTACTTCATCCAAGAAGTATAAAGAGAGATTTCATACAATGTACTAATTGTGATAAATACAACATGATGCATATAATTTTGAGAGTACCGCGGCAGCAACACCTGCGTGCGCGAAAAACTAGTGCTGTAGACTCTCAGAATTTTTTAATAGGTCTCCACGAGTCAGTGCCAAGCACCAAGTAATTATTAAAGCGTTTCAATTTTCACCGGATCGCTGATCGTTGCAGTTATTACATAGTCGCATAATCTTACAAGTATCACAGGACGGCTGAGCGTCGCAAGTATCGCACACAGAGAGAAAATTCTGGGGCCTTACGTGTTTCGGGCATGTGTTTCGACTGAGAGTAAGTGATTCGAACTCAGCCCCTATCATATATGAAGTAATTGCAATGCACGTTCTTGTCATGTATTTGTTTAAAAAAAACTACTTAGAATATTTTTGAAGTCAACAATTTCGAAAAAAATGCAAAAAAAATAGCAAAACGAATGTAAAACTAATTTTAAATTAACGTAGAAGTGAAAAATAGGACTAGTTTTTTACGCGTATCGGCGTATGAATATGTGCGTGTGTACGTTCAACGGCTTTTGGCGGCATAGCTTGAAGAACAGTGTCCGTTACACGTGGACGCGTGTGGTGTATGTGTATCGCGCGATTAAATAATGTTACAAATAATAATCAAATGGTCGCGTGTATCTCCCTGTAATCAATCTGAGTGATACGCTCGTTTGTTTAATTTACAGTTTGCGAAAAGTTTCTCTTCAGAAATGACTTCGACCTCGTATTACTGCAGCTTGTGTCCCTTCGAATCAAGATTTATATCGCTGCTCTTCAGGCACTTGTCTAATCAACATGCAAATTTACCTAATTTTAATGTTCAGTGTGGTGTCAACGGATGTGTAAATTCTTATTCTAATGTTGCAACACTTAGAAAGCATGTTTATAAGAAACATCGGCATATAAAAACCCTTGCTAAAGGAGAAAGTAGAGAAAAAGCTGGACAAGAATTTGAGTCAAATTCTCCAGAGATGGCTGAGAGATCTAGAATAGATAGTGAAAAATCAATTCTGACCAATTTAGAAAACTCTCCTGAGAGACAAAGCAAGGAAGAGGCAGAAACCAGTGCTGTGACCAATTTTCTGTTGTACATCCGTGAAAAACAAGGTGTATCAGAAAAAACTGCTGAAACAGTAGTGCAGCAATTTGAAGAAATAGTGGAAAATTGCCTTCATCAAACTGAATATGCCGTGGATGACTGCTCACTAACAGCTTCTCAGAAATCAAGTATTTTGAAACCTCTTTCAAATTTAAAGGAGATTTTAAAAGCTCACAACTCAGTGCACAAACAGAGGAAAATGTTCAAAAAAAGGGGATTTGTTGAGCCAGAGGAAATCTTTCTTGGCAACAAGGATTCGTATATATATGTCCCAATCCTTGAAAATTTGAAGGCGCTTCTGAAGCACTCTGATGTACGAAACCATGTCTTAAGTCAAAAGCCTTGTCCTAGTGCTAGTGATGATCATATAATAGACAGTTTCTCATCTGCACAACACTGTCAAAGTTCTCCCTTTCTATCTGACCAGAATTGCTTGCACATTCAGCTTTACTTGGATGATTTTCAAGTGGTGAATCCTCTAGGCACTTCAACCAAGAAGAATAAATTATGTGCCATGTATTGGTCATTGGGTAATATCCCACCTCATTTGAATAGCCAATTGTTCACTATACAAATTTTGTTGCTGACCAAAAGTGTAAATATAAAAAAATATGGATTTAAAAAAATATTACAAAAATTTTTACATGATATGCATATTCTTGAGGAGCAGGGGCTGAAAGTAGAAACTTCCCATGGAAACTTTAATTTCAAGGGAACTTTAGCTTTTGTACTTAGTGATAATTTGGCTGCCCATGAACTGGGGGGCTTTGTGGAAAGTTTTTCATCCCTGCGTGTGTGCAGGTTTTGCATGGCAACTAAAGAAATGATAAAAGACAAATTTACAGAAGAGGAATTTGTCTTACGAACAGAGGAAAGCTACAATGAAGCTGCCAGAATTGTTGAAGCTAACAAAGAAATGTGTACCACTTATGGCATAAAATCAAACTCAGCTTTGAACAGCTTAAAATATTTTCATGTCTGTTGGGGGTTCCCGAGTGACATAGCTCACGACTTGTTTGAAGGTTTCTGTTTAGATCTGCTGAAAACAGTTCTAACTCAATGCATGTCTAAAAAATACTTCACATTAAATTATTTGAACGATAGAATTGAAAATTTCCCATACACTGGGCGTGATAAAAGGAACAAGCCTGCTCCCTTAAGCAAAGACAAGCATGGTGGACTCAGTGTAAGGCAAACTGCTGCCCAGTGTGCAAACTTGGTGCGAATGCTCCCATATTTGGTGGCGGAAAGAATTCCCACAAATGATCCTCATTGGTGCTGTTATGTGGATTTCCTTGATCTTCTTGATTTAATTTTAGCCCCTTCTTTGTCTTTTGGACACATCCATGTTATGAAAGATTCTATTTCCGCTTTTCTTGAAAATTTTTTCCATCTCAACCCTGATTTGCCTGTAAAACCCAAATCACACTATATCGTCCACTATCCTTCACAATTTTTGAAATATGGGCCACTGATCCATCACTCTACACTTCGCTTTGAGGGAAAACATAGCAATTTGAAGTCAGCAACCAAAATTTGCAAAAATTATATAAATACTTGTAAGACTATTGTGAATAGGCACCAGTTCATGCAGTGTTTACATCACAGGAATGAAGATTATTTGAAAGAAAACGACAAAGAGTTTCCCAAGCTTACCAAGATGGTAGCCCTGCAAACTCTGGATGAGAGAATATATACACTTCTCTCACCAATTGTTAAAGGAGAATCATTAATTCCTTTATCCAAATCAGTGAAGTACCAGGGATTGAAGTATGAGCAAGGAGCGGTGATTGTCACATCCTCAGACACTGACCTACAATTTAATGAAATTCATGAGGTGGTGTATGTTAACGATCAAATTTTCTTCATTGTAAACCCTTTAACTACGGACCATTTTTCCGGCCATTTTCATGCATATGCCTTGAAAAGAACTTCATCTATAAAATTAGTACCTCTATCAATTTTGAAGTCTCCATTCCCCCTTCAAATGTATGGAACTGAAGGACAGTTGAAGTTTGTGTCTTTGATGCATTTCATCCCTTCAACAGATTGAATTAAGTTCTAAAAATGTTTCAATATATCATACTGCTTTCAAATAGAAAATTTCTTGTGAAAGTGGCCAACAAAGAAGAGCTCCTTCAGGCAGCAAAGGAACGGTTACAAGAAAAAGGACTTTTAAAAAGCCAACAATGTCATCTCGAATATTACATGGCCAATCTCAATACATATTGTGAAGTTGATCCCGAAGATCTAGCTGACAGCGGGATTTTGAAAATGGTATTTGATACCCCTGAAATTTTGGATGATGAAAGGTAAGATTGCTAGTCTTTGCCAGAGTTGTTAAAAATTTATAACCTTACAAATGATAATGATTATATAATAATTATTCATTAATAACAAAATAATTAAGCTTACACCCACTTGTTGGTGAAATGTAAAATAAAACTATATTAAATCCGGAGAGTCCTCCCACATTTCATAGAAATATTGTAACAACTAAAAAAATTGAAGTATTGCTAAACTAAGAATAGTGGCATAAACTTCAACATTTTTCCTATCTATGTAGCATAAAGCAAGTTAAGAAATCCTATATTTACTACCTCTAAAAAAATCAATGTAAAAAGTGTGAAAAGGGAGATTTTTGCAACAGTACCTCTGCTAAGGTCTGTAGCAAATTTGACTTCCCAAAACCTGTACTTGCACAAAAGTTGCACGCAGGTGTTGGCTTAAAAACATGATTGGCGGAATTTGCATTGCTCATCCTAAAAAAAATGGCAGCCATTTCTGTAAGATGGGTAATATGGGACACCCCCCAGGGTAATAAAGGACATCCCTAAAACACATTTGCAGTATAATTACAAAAAAATTTACAGTATAACTATTGCCACTGTGCTCTTTCAGGAACTTGAGTGCATGTCCAGTTACACAGAGGCCCGCTGAAGAGAATATTCTCCCAGTCTCTACCACAAGAAGAGAATATTGCGAAAATAGCACAGAATCTGTTCATTCTGTTCAGACTGCCAATATGTTGGATCATTCTCCTAATGATATCCAACAACCAAGTTCATCTCCAGCTTCAATGGAAGTGATGAAATGTACCAACCTAAATGAAACTCTAAATCCCAAATGGCCTGCAGTATTCAGCATTTCAAGTAATATCTTCCCCAAGACCTTGAGGGAAGCTCTAGAGGCTGAAGAAACATTAAACAGAAAAAACATGACGGAGTTATTAGATTGTTTATACAACCTAATAACAAAATTTACCTTGTGAGTACCATAACCTACATACTATACTGATTACTGACTGCAAATTAATTTCATGTGATTACATCCATTTTTTAAAAAGTAAATAAACAACCCAGTTTTAGTTCAAATACCCAGGGTATAACAATTTGGCAAAAGCAAAAATAAATGATTTATATTTCATCACTTTTTTCCTTTATCTTTGGCTTACAACAATAAAATTTATGTTCATATTTAATTTTCTCTAAGTTTATTCCTGTGTTTCTAATTACAATAGAATATTTTTTCAAAACAACTTGCCATTATTTGGAAAAAAAATAAATGGTTGATCACACTAAAAAATATATGAATAACTTTGCAAAATGACAGTTTTTGGTAGATGCATACCGTAGCCAAAGATTATTATGAATTTCTAACCCAAAACATACAAGTTGAAAAATAGTTTTAGCTATTATTTTGTGTTTTAATGCTAAAAATTCATGTTTTACATCCTTTCAATAATGATTATTAAATGGTTTCATCCTTTTGATTATTAAAGATATGTTGATACCATTATATTTGGCTCAAACTTGAATAATACTAATTAAGTTTTTTGCATTTTTGTGCTTATAATTATCATATTCTCAATTGGTAATGCAATATTTTCACACAGCTATCCAACAAAACAAAACTATCATGCTGTTGCATTAGCCTTACTGATGAAGTACCCTCATCTAAAGAAAGATATTGAGTTTGGTGATGCTGTGGTAAGTGACAAGTCATGATATTTTCTTTAAAAAATTTTTCATGTACCCTGCACACATTAGCAATTATGAATATTAGTCATGTTGTTTATTTTTTATCTTCAAAACCGTGTAAATTATTTCAACTGTTGATTAGAAAAAATACAACTTAGTTATTTTGAATAGGCTGTACAATGTGAAGCTCAATGTCACTTACCATTGCCAGGAAATATGGAGGACGAGAATGTCAATGAAAGCTAGGAATGCAAGACAAAGACGGGATAGTCAAGAGCCTTGTGTCATGGCCATGAGAGCAAAGAAGAAATTGCATCTGCCACAGGAAGAAAATGATGACATGCCCCCAAAGAAAATTCCCAAAAATGTTCCAGCATTTGGTGTGGTAAATTACATGCCAAGCAAGCCCCTTACTGAAGATGACATATCAATTCAACGTCACCGTACACAGATGATCAATGAGCTAAAGAAGAAAGCTCCGAATCCAAGAACAATTGAAGAGCTCATGAAGCTCACATTTCATGACCGAAGGCAGCTCATCATAACAGAAAATGCAACAGTCGCTTACATTGCTGAACTGTATCCAGCTATTTTCAATCCAAATCAGGTTTGAGGAGTAGATTGGTAAATATTATATTATCATGAGTATTGGAATATTATCATTGATTATAATATATTCGTCCACTCCTATTTCACTGCTATTCACTCTGGTTTATCAAATATTTTAATGTTATAAAGGCTGTACTTTGCCCTCATTTCTACTTCTATTCCGATGCATTTAAATGGTCATAGGTCATGAGTAAAATTTTATGCATTATATTTTGTACAGATACTCTTCGAGTTTGAGCGCTTGACGGAGATCAACTTGATGGAAAAACTTCGGGAAAGTATGAAGATTCATGGGAGAGCGATTCACTTGCTGAGTCAAGTTGCCATTCCTGAAAAGCGTGATTTGGATTCAGCTGAATATGAAGGTAAGACTTCTTTTAAATTAAGAGGTAGGTACTTCATGATCCTCTAGATGGATTGGAAATTCAACAACCCTCTAGTGAATTGTCATATGTCAGATTCATTTCTTTTAATCTATTCATGCAATCCATTTATATTCATCTTATTTATTTTCTCTCGTCTCCGTCTTTTCTTTTTCAGATCAAATGATGTCCAGTGCTTTGCTCCTTATTCCAGCACTGATGCGCGAAACAATTAAATATGATATGCCTGTGGAGGTTAGAAAGACTTACATCCATAACTTTTACTAATAAAACAAAATTACATGAGTTTATTTATTTTGCTCTTTGGTGTGCACTCAAGTTTCGCTTGAAAAACCATGCTTGCAATCTTCAGAAAAATTAGTCTCATTTTATATAAAAATTGAAGTTAGTCTCATTTTGTATAAAAATTTACCTTTGGTTTACCAAGTTTATTTGACAGGGATCCATTATCAAGGCGGCCCCAGGTCTTCATTTCACTGACGCTTCGCTTTCCACCTCTGAAGGTATCATCCTCGCAGAAGGCAGGGAGATTTGCAAGGTATCTGGCATCACCGAAGGTTTCTTGGCATGGTTTGGCACGTTCTACGTGTTTAATATGTCTTATCCAAAACATGCCAAAAAAACTCTATGCTTCATTCAACGAGCCCTACTTGGTCTGAAGGACAAAAGCAAGACACCCCTCATCGTTCTCGAGACCTTACGCAAGTTGTCTAGCTTGAAATAATCATTAAATATTTTATAGCCAGTGCGATGCAGTAGTTCAGATGTCTCCTGGACAAGAATTTTCTGTTATGTTTAATTAGGTTAATTTCTACAAGTGTCATCACCGAGCCAGTTTGTTAGTCTTACCGACGCTATTACTGCTATAGTAGTTTTCTAATTTAGTTCATTCATACTGTAAGGGAAACTCGTTTATTTTTTCAATTGAATTAACATTTTTCGATGTTAAGACGATCCTTCCTGACCATCTTAACATTTTTCCAGGTGATAGCGTTATTATTTTTTCTTCCTCGTCGCTGGTCATTCAACTCGCTGGGTCCTCTCCCTCTGACGTGCCTCACTTGGTCATGTGCTGTCCCACGGCGTGCCTCTCTGCAGGCATGTTGTGCTCTCCCTCGCTGGTATGTGGTCCTCTCCCTCAGGCATGTGGTGCTCTCCTTCGGGTCTGTGGTGCTCTCCCTCGGTGTCTGTGGTGCTCTCCCTCGGTGTCTGTGGTGCTCTCCCTCGGTGTCTGTGGTGCTCTCCCTCCCTCACGGTGTTCTTTTCTTTTGACTGGATTCTTTGGTTCGCTGATATTTTATGGTTCCCTGATGTTTTATTTTGATGGTGTTCTTTTATTGTTAAAAAAGGAAAACGAATACTCTCTCGGATATCTTGTATTATTAATTTCGTGGACGATGCGGACTAAAATATAAAATATAATGTTCATAATAACCCAATTTCAATACCCCGAGCATGCAAAACTCAGCGACAATGAGTCGCCTTAAGGCTGCGATGAGACCCTCAACTTCGATCAACATTCATTCTATAAATCAAAAAAGTTGATCGAGGTTGGTAATACCATTTTTTTCAAGCATTTCATTTCAATTCACTGACATTTCCTTAATTTAATAAAAATTTTTAATGCTTTGAAAAAATGGGGGGACTGAGCTGCCTTGCATCTCGGTTTTTTACTCTTATGTATAATAAAAATTGTTTCTATAACATAATTACTTTTTCAGTGATAATGTCGCCGGGAGGAGAAAAATCTGTGGGTAATTACTTCATCCGGTGCTGGAAACTGGACAAGGATNTCACCCGGCAACCAACGTTGTTCCAGCGAAATCACCCGGTAACTAACGTTGTTCCAGCGAAATCACCCGGTAACCAACGTTGTTCCAGCGAAATCACCCGGCAACCAACGTTATTCCAGCGAAATCACCCGGCAACCAACGTTATTCCAGCGAAATCACCCGGCAACCAACATTGTTCCAGCGAAATGACCCGGTAACCGACGTTATTCCAGCGAAATCACCCGGTAACCGACGTTGTTCCAGCGAAATCACCCGGTAACCAACGTTATTCCAGCGAAATAACCAGGTAACCAACGTTGTTTCAACGTCATTTGTGAGAAGTGATCGTAGTATAGCGCTGACCGCTGGACAGGCCGGCGCTGTAGCAGCTGTATGGGCCAGCAGTACATCATCTCGGTGCACGGCTTACCAGCGTGTCAACAGGCTGTCTCTTATACACATCTAGATGTGTATAAGAGACAGGGACTAGGCAAGAGCGTTCGGAGGTGACCGTTGTGCCGCAAAAAGCGCCATGGCGCACCGCACTCAACGGTAAATCTTGGCGGCGTGTCCAGCATGGCCTAAAACAGCGCTGCTACCTACCGCCACCTTTTGGCTAGCCGAAAAAAAGCAGTCTTATGGCTAGTCGGAAATGCTATTTTATGGCTAGTCGGAAATGCTATTTTATGGCTAGTCGGAAATGCTATTTTATGGCAAGCCGGCCAATCCAATTTATGCTCACCAGAAAATGCCATATTACGGCTAGTCGGCAATGCCAGCTTATGGCTAGCGGGCCATGCCATCTTATGGCTAGCCGGAAATGGCAGTTAACGGCAAGCCGGCAAATCCAATTCATGCCCACCAGAAAATTCCATATTACGGCTAGTCGGCCATGCCAGTTTATGGCTGGAGGGCCATGCCATCTCATGGCTAGCCGTAAATGTCATCTTACGGCTAGCCGACAATTTTCCACAAAACTACTGAGAATAAACTGCGTCGGTGTCGACAGACGTTTCGCCGAAACTTTTCGTGTAAGTTGCGATGAACTGGATGAGTTGCGATGCACATACTGCGAAAAAGTTCCCAATAAATGAGCAGGTTTGTAGCAAAACTTTATCGTCATCAGACACGCACTAGTTACAGCAGGGCGCACCTTCAGATTGATTTCACGGTGCGGCAACAACAGCATTTGATGACTGTTCTAATCAACGGAAATTTGGTGGCCCTGACAACAGCCTTAAAATAATGATAGTATGATCTCGCAAAAAATTCATCTATTACGAAAGGTTTCAACACTTGATCAAGACTCTTGAATTTACTTGACATCGGAATTTACTGATCAAATATCATAGTTTTATCATTAAGCAATAGCAGCTTAGCTTATCCATTTACAAATTACCGTAGATTAATTAATAATTTCATAAAGCAAAATGTATAGAAGCTAAGTATTGATGATAACGAGCCTCCTAGCGTAAGCGATAAGAAGCGCAATACATAGCGGCGCAACACACCAAGCATATGACGTTGAAATAACGCGATTAAACGCGGTTTCAACAAAATTAACTAGTAATCAACAGTTTCGAGGAAATCAACTCGTAGACAACGTTGTTCCAGCGAAATCACCCGGTAAGCAAAGTTGTTCCAGCGAAATCACCCGGTAACCAACGTTGTTCCAGCAAAATCACCAGGTAACCAACGTTGTTCCGGCAAAATCACCCGGTAACCAACGTTGTTCCAGCGAAATCACCCGGTAACCAACGTTGTTCCAGCGAAATCACCCGGTAACTAACGTTGTTCCAGCGAAATCACCCGGTAACCAACGTTGTTCCAGCGAAATCACCCGGCAACCAACGTTATTCCAGCGAAATCACCCGGCAACCAACGTTATTCCAGCGAAATCACCCGGCAACCAACATTGTTCCAGCGAAATGACCCGGTAACCGACGTTATTCCAGCGAAATCACCCGGTAACCGACGTTGTTCCAGCGAAATCACCCGGTAACCAACGTTATTCCAGCGAAATAACCAGGTAACCAACGTTGTTTCAACGTCATTTGTGAGAAGTGATCGTAGTATAGCGCTGACCGCTGGACAGGCCGGCGCTGTAGCAGCTGTATGGGCCAGCAGTACATCATCTCGGTGCACGGCTTACCAGCGTGTCAACAGGCGTCCGCTTCTACGTACCTGCCCAACAAAAATAAATGCTGTTAAAATTTTGTTAGGAATTGCTAACTTCCGTAAATACATGCACTAACAATAATAAATACCATGACAAAATTTAGCAAATAGAGTACGGTAATTATTTTATAATTGTGTTAGGACAGCGAGAGAGGATCGACTCTCGCTCTTATTCTTAAACCGCATACAAGCAACAACTAATACAATTTCCATTTTCTGCATAAGTTAAATATATTATTAACTTAGAAACTACAAGCTCGTCTGAAACTCTCCAATTGCAATGTCAGGACTAAAACTAATAATTTAGAAGTACATAGAAATTTAACATTATTGCTGGAGTCGCATTGTAATTTTCAAGAGCAATTCAAGACTTAGCTAAATAAATGAGCGCCAATGCTAGAAACGTAGAGCTTGAGCTACGGAAAAAATCACCGCGGAGTATCTAGTATCTACATCAAGCAAAATACTATAATATTTAGTATAAATATTATTTGCATCTAGCTAAATCAAGTGCCTCCTGAGCTAACGACATGATTAACCCTTTAAAACCTCAATGGCTAATGTCTAAGAGATTGCATTAATGCATTAAATGATAAAATGGTAAAATTTGATCCCAACAATGATGGCGCAGCATATAAATCAATCATAAAATGTACTACTAAGATCATTATAATACGACCGCAACGTTTACAGAACGAAAATTTCCCTACTTTATAAATAGCTTCAAATCGTAATTGATATTCTTGACAAAAAAATTATCTCAGCATTAACAAATAATTCGGAAACTTAACACGTTTATTGAACTTGAGAGATAAAGATGCGAAATAAAACAAAATGCGAGTCATCAAAGTAACTCCAACATTAAATTATACAATTGGATAAGTAAGTTTGACTGTGTGATTATTTTTTTATATTTATTCAGGATGACAGCATGGACCCGGCAGTTGGTATTGTAGGAGAACGAACGCATGGACCCGGCAGTTGGTATTGTAGAAGAGGCGCTTCATTAGGCCTATTGAGATCGTAAAAGCTCTTCATGCGCGCCAACGACAACCACAACCATCAGCTTGTCTTCGCCACAACGGTAGTAACGAAAGAAAATAGCCACAAACTCACTGCCGTCACCACATTAGCACAACATACCAACATTATTATCAGGACTAAAAATTACGCTGAAGACAATACCAGAAATAAAATGGCATGTTCATCACACAAATCACAGACAAAACGCAATCACATTCAGACAAATGAAGGCGCTTAATATTACATCAAGCATAAAATATACGTTGATTGGTACGACCATTATTCCAGTGCTTGGCAAATACAACTTGGAGCTCCCATGTATGACGCCATCACTTTAACTTTTCGTCCATAACTACAATGCTGATTATGCATAAAAAACTACGAATTTGATAATACAAGGAGGACTATATCGCCACATCGTTCGCCCTCAGGGCATTTCTAACCAGAAGTCAGTACAAAATTTCCATCAGTCTACTAAACGCATGGACACGGCTAACCCTAGCACATCATATATACCGAGTATGATTGATCCATCATAAGCATACGAATATATGAATTTAATGACTAGTGTACTATGCTAACAAACTATTCAACTCTAAGCGAAAATCTTTTCAACGGAGCACTTATATGATCGGTAGATAAAACGAGGAACAAATTGCCGCTAACAAATGTGAAAAAAATCAGACGACTTCCTAATGTGGCAAATTAGATGTCGATTGCGTGCGTCTGGGTTGCAGTCCGTAACAGGTTCAAAATCTGCGAATGCTACATTGAAAAACAGAAACATCAGATTGATTATTTACCTCGGCGCATATCGTCAAGAACAAAACTTACAAGCTCAGCGATTGCGCACACAACTTATTTAGACAGCGCAAAGTAGAGATGCAGAGCAAAGTAATAATAAATAAAATCAATAAGATAGAATAACTTCGTAATATACTCTGGATAAGTGGGCGGATTATCTGTGCTGCGCTACTGAAGAGCGTTGAGATGCAGGCGAAGGCTCTATCCTTCACTGCCCCGCCGAAAAATTTGCCCATTTTTCTTAATGTTATTCAAGCAACAAAGAAAAATAAATTAATGCGGTGTTTGAGGAGTAAAAAATTGACTGCAAAGCACGAATGCATACGCACAGCCTTGCAGGAGCACTATTATTATTGAGCAAATGTTAAAGAGCGCAGAGGCGCATGCATGGTCATATGATTACTGTAGAGTGGCCAGCACTTGGGACTTGATCTCTGCAATAGACACTCACTCGTCCCGAGGCTGATCTCGAGCTCGCGCCAACTCGTCACAAGTCCATTACCCTTGGCAGGTATCATACACTCGGATTCTTCAATACAATATACAATTGAAAGTAATGTTTTTATCCAGAAAACGAATATAAACGCTCATATTGAGTACAAAATGCCATACTAAATTTCTTAATATACCGCTATTTAATTATAGCCA